TCCAGGGTCCAGTAGAATACAGTAGATTCTGAGGTGGTGGCACATTAAAAATTTGTTGACCAATCTAATAAAAAGGGAAAATTTTAATGGGTAGATATATATAAAAATGAAAAGAAGATATCTATTATGAGATTTGAAACATTCACCTTCGCACCTGCTGTCTTCGATCAACAAGCACAGAATGCTTCTGGGATTCAGATTCTGCATTCCGGAGCAGCATACAGCCAAACAGATTCTGAGGTGGTGGAATATTTGCATTAACTGCAGCAGGTGGCTCAGCAATCTTTGGAAAGAAGTAAAGACAAGTAAAATGGGTTAAATAGACAAAAAAAGGAAGAACAGTATTCAAAGTATTCTTATGGTTGAAACATTCCAGTACATGTACCTGCTGTCTTCTTTCAGGCAATGGTTGCACTCTGCCAGCTACACGCTGAAAGGAATTACGGGTTCTGGGTTCCACGTTCCTTGGTAGAGTAGAATACCGTAGATTCTGAGGTGGTGGAACATGAAAATTAACTCCAAGTGGTTCAGCAACCTTTGAAAAGAAGAGACGAACAGTAAAATGTATAACATAGAAAGTAAAACAATAGTAAGACCAGAAGAAAATTTACTTCTAGATCTTAAATATGTATCTACGCACCTGCTGTATTGGTGCCGGCAGTGGGATTGGTGCACGCTCAGTGGGCTACGTTTGGGGTTCCACATTCCGGGGCACGGTAAAATCTCGCAAATTCTGCGGCGGTGGGATATTGAAGTTTGCAGCAAGTGGCTCAGCATTCTTTGGCAATACAAATAGGAATATATAATAAACAACGGACAAAAACTTTAAGAAAATGTGCTCTTGTAAATTTCCAACTAAAATTATAGTTCAAATTTACAAAATCTTATCAAAATAACGATATATTTTAGTGTAAGACTGCATATTTTAAAGGATGAGTACATACTACTGGATGCGAAAGATCCACTGGATCCAGCTCTACAGCAGCTCGAGCAGGCAATATCTGGCGTGCATTTGAATGTCGGAACCACCCTCTGTTTGGCCGCAGATTGTTGGCTATGACCACATTGGGTGGGGGCACATTAGCTACAATGTCAGGTGGGGGAATTCTGGAGTTGAACCCGCCTGCTATATACTCTTCAATCGTGGTGGTTGTAGTTGTGCATACCTATGAAAACAATAGCAATGTATGTAAATGTAAAGGGGGATTCACGATCGCAACGCATCGAGCGTCCGTGTAACGCTAGTGTTAAATTGAAGCTCGAGAAGTAGTCAGGGTGAAAGGGGAGTGGAGCGTTTGTTGTAACGCTAGCTGCGTTGCGACCGAAAATCCACCATCATACAAACACAGTTCTATGCTAGCTGCTACAGCGTCGAAAGTTGACACCTAGTTAGACAACCTAGTTAGGCACCACAATGTGTCGAGAAAATGCACACTTGAGCTTTAACATCAATTGACGTGCAAAATTAGACACTTGATTTGCCAGTGTATTTATCTGATAATATTCCTTCAAAAAAGGTAGAGTTGACAATCAGATGGGGCACGCACGATTGCTTGGCTTCGACTCATAGAAAATCCAGTACCATCCTATTGAAACCCCTTCGCTTATAAATGCCTTATTAACTTACCCTTCTCGACAACTGCCGCTCAGTACTCCCTTCTTCCATTATTGATTGATTGAGACAAGATAATACGGCTAGGCTACTCGATGGACACGGTTCTCTCTCTTTTCTCTGCTTCAGAACTGGCGTGGCGTAGCTCTCGCACGGTGAACACGAGGTGAGCGTCACCCACCAGTGCAGCCAACTAAAGACAAATACAAAAATAGCTAATCCCAGATATTTCTTGAAACTTGTGTAAAATTTTGTGATTTGTTAATTGAGTTTTGCACTGGCATTCAAAACAAACTATTCCTCGAATTTTTTTGTTGGTGTATGCCAATGCTAACGTTTAAGATATCAAGGTGGCAGCTGTGCTGAATCTCTCTCTCTCTCTCTCTCTCTCTCTCTCTCTCTCACACACACACACACACACACACTCACACACACTCACACACACACAACTTTTGCATTAACTCTACATTTTAATAGTAACTTAGGCATTCCCTCCACAGCGCTTGGTTTTTCTACCACCTCACGTTGCAGCTGTAGCCGTAGTCCTTGGTGCCTGGTTGAATTTCTTGACGCTTATCACAGCTGATTTGTAAAACAACTCTAATTTCTGTGCTAACTTTGCACACTATAAAATCTTAACTATCTTAACTGATCTGCGTCGAAATGGAGATTGAACGTAAGTATGAACCGCCCAATAAGTTTCCAATTACGGAATTTTGATAAGAGGTTAGATGTGTAAAAGACTTCGAACGTTTGTAGCTTTTAACACTTTGAGCCCCGGGGATCCGTTTACATGTATTATCGCCAACCGTGTGGCCATGTACTCAACGTGTTACGAAGATCATAGGTGCTCTTAAACTTAATTAATAAAGTCCCCTGGCAAAGCTTGTTATTAACCTAAGTCCTAAGTCCATTTAGTCCATTTACATCATTCTTTTTTACACATTTAATCTCTGTTGCCAACACATTTAATTTTTTGCCACAACTGACAGAATAAGTCCACAAGGAGATAAAAACTTCACAATCAAACCCATTTTGCTGCCGTAGAAAATCCCTAGGGGCATAGACCTGCCATTCTCTCCAATCAAGATTTAAACCTTGAAAGGAAAACCTATGGCTGCTTGCTAAGAAATATCTCAGAATCTAGAAAGAGAAAAATTTTGTAAATTTCTAATGCTAGAAAAATGTAGAGATTAATCTCTACAGCTGAAATCTTGCTAAATAACCAAGGTACCTGGAGGTGCTCCATAACATTTGGACCCAAAGACTGCTTCTTAGAATACAATGGATCCAAGACTAGAATGCATTTCAGTTTCGTCAGAACTAGAAACGAAACCCAGTGACTTAAACTGATGTTTGAAAGAACTATCAACAAATCATTTAAGATTAAAGTGCTATTGACAATGTCCTCCATATAACATTTCATCCCTATTGCGGTGTTTTGTAGTGCTACACTAGGAATAGTTTCTATTTCGGCATAACAATTCTCAGTATCAGCCATTATTAAGGTACTGAACACATCAATAATTGAGTCATTCAGGAATTCGTGGGCTTTGAGACTTTCAAAGTCAGCTTTACTCAGTGTTACACCACTGCATGTGCAAAGAGATTTCAGCTTGTGCCAGGATGGGTTTGCAAAGTTCTCCTCCCAAGGTTGCACAAGTGAATTCTCAGACTTATTATGAGGTTCCTGACTGCTTCCATGATGATTAGTCTCTTCAAAACTCTGTGCTACAGGAGAAAAATACAAAAAAATGTGTTAGTATCTACAGAGCGAATGAATTCCAATAACCAGCTAACATGATACAGATTTCGTCAATCTGATTGAAATGAAGAACTGCACTTACAGGCCGTATCACATTTTTTATTTTGTCTGTCTGATTTTGTTGGTGTTTTATTGCGAGGCCGGCCCACAACAGACTGGCTTGGAAGCCGCATTTTTTCTGGTGAAGATCTTTCTGAGCATGAGGTCTCTGTAGGAAACAATAAAGATTTTTAACACATCTACCACAAGGAGGGTTTTATGGGTTTTCTAATAAAAACCAAATCAAAGTAACAATTTACCTGAGCTAGTTTCTCGGAAATACAGTATGAAAACTGCATTGATGTGTTTGCATATACACCCTGAATGTCTGTAGTCCTTGCATGAACAAGAAAACCTGTGTCTCAAAGGCTCTGCACTACATGCTGTAATTTGGCAGCTCTGTCTGAGTTCTAGCACCTTGTACGATTGTTCTCTGGTGAGCTTGTTCTGTGACTTGACGCACCATGACACATCAGACAGTTGTTTGACATCATCTTTCGGTATTAAGGGGGGATCCTAGTGTAGCGGCTCAAAAACAAGGGTATTTTTTGAGATTTAATTGGTGGAAAACGATAACTCTTATTGAAAATCGGTAAAGGCCATTTAATAAAGGGTTCTTTTAACTTTAAAACAGCAAAACGTAAGTCCCGATATTTTCACTGTAGCCGGAGAAAAGTGGTGTAGAAGAGGCCCCCCATTTTACAACTGGGCGCAAGCCCACAGCCCAAACGGTTAATCCCAGGGAGCTATTTTTTTTGTGGTTGTTCCTAGAACGTGTGGCTATGGTGGGTACTAGGATTTCCGGAATCGGAGTAATCCTTCCCACAGAAAAAAAATCATAACTTTGAAAATTTTCCCTAAATTTTAGTAGTAAAAGTTTAACTTGCACGAAAAAATACTAAAAATCATTTCACCGCAAAAGTTCTAGTACCCACCATAGCCGGGTCCCTTCTGAGTCTAAAAAACTTGGGCCGGACTGTTTCAGACGACCGAGTCGACCTGGACACTTGCGCCCGTGACCATGTGTCATGCGCGAAGGGTGCCTCTTCTGCACCACTTTTCTCCGGCTATATAAATTCCTTCTCTTTGTCGAGCATAGTTCCATCAACTTTTGCATTTTCAGCTACATTTACGGTTGTAATTACAGCAAAAGTTTAATCCATGCAAATTAAATCCAAAACTCTTAATTCATTAAAGTCAACAACTTACAATCCACTGTACCATCTGCATTCACATGTATAATAACAATTTCCCTTTAGGACATCCAGCATTCCAATATTTTCTCAATATCTTTTATCCTTTTTTTGTATAGCCAGACCAGCCTTAGGTCCGTCCCCTCCTCACCCCCTCTCGCCCGCAAACTCCTATGCTGCCCGTGCTGTGAAAAGACGGACCTTAGGCTGGTCTCACTATATTGATGGCCTGCCATTCAAGGATAAAATACTGGAAATTTCCGTACAGATCTTTAAAGCCTTGCGATACTTTGAGGTTTTATCCATGGGCTTGGGCCCACGAGGGGTTACCCTAAGAACTCGTGCAGAAGCATTTGAGTTTTGACTGTGCTGAGGATCACTACTAGACACAAGACTCTGGTTCAGCCACCTGATTGGTAATCTGTTTTATTCAGTACATCTTGGCCTGTAAAAAAATTAAATTATATTATGATGGAATCTTAAGAGGAATTAGTTATCAATATATGTGAAAGTAGTACCTTGTTGCAACCTGTGGTAGAAGACATGATGGCAAACTCCCATACCAAACATCTTAGAGAAGTTACAGGTGCATTTTTCTCGTTCCTGCAGAGTATCTTCTAACAAGTCATAGTTATGTTTTAATTCACTAATTAGAAGAGAGGCACCCCAATCTGATGCTGTGTTGAATATAATTTTAACATTGTCATCTTTGTTGTTTACAAGGTATGACCTTTTGGCTCTCTTTAAGAAATCTCTATGACTGCTCAAACTCTCTTGTGAAGTGGAGCCGCAACAATTCTCTGACACAATCTGCCAACGTACTTGTTCTTGTGACAACTTTTTTAATCTTGTCGTTGTGGCTCTCAACATGATTTGTGGATCTCACACCTAAAGATAAAGACTCAGCTCTCACATACAGGACCCATGCTGATTGAATATTCTTCCAATACTGATCAAAATACTCCAAAAAAGTAGGAGAAGCAACAGCACTGAGAGCATTGTAATGGCGATCAAACTCTTCTGCACTTGCTGATAGCCACATATCATTTAAAATTTTGGTTAACTTTGAAGATTGCTCTTCACCCTTAACTTTTCTACTGAAAAGTCTTTTGACATGTGTATGGCAGAGATGGACATGCACATCAGGGAGGACTTTTTTCACACCTGAAATTTCCCTGTAATCATTGTCAACAATTACAGTCTTCACATTGAGGGCACTTTCAGTGTTGTTCTCGACAAATTCTCTGAGAGCACACTCCAAAATATCATTTGTTTCTCTCCTCAGATATATGTAGGCCACAATCCTGCCATTCTTATGGTTGTCAATAGCTTGCGTAACCACAAGGTGCATATTGTGTGTATTGACATCATATGTGGTATCCATACCTATAATTTCTGGGAATTTCTTAGATTGTCTCTCAAAGCACTCGTCTGGAACATAATGAAGTCTACTAATTTTGGTGGGCCATCCTCGGGTTCATCTGCTTCGTCTGTTTCAACTTCAACATGGCAATTAACATACTGTGCACCTGGGTCTTCCTTAACCTTTTTATCTAGCTCCATAATCAGATCTTCTTCTGGAGTCTTGCCTTATCTCTGTCCAATTTTGAATTTTTGCCTGTAATGATAGGTAATACTTTAGAATGTATTAGAATTTTTAAGATGAGAAGGGAGGGATCAAAATCTTCCTTGCCATAATTGTCATTTTTCCAATTATACCCCCCCCCCCACAAAAACAAAGAAAAATTACTTCAATAAAAATACTACATTCTTAAATTTGATAAGTATGGACCTACTTGAAATTCGACACATCCTTGGCATTTACGGCCTTTCCAGTTGTCTCTCTAATCTGCTGCACAATATCTGCATTTTTCCCTCTACATTTAAACATTGTGTTCATTATGCCTTGTGTTTCCTGCGACAACTTTTTGTCTCTGCTGTAGTGTGCAGCAAATTTCTTATCCTTGGTTGGATAATACATGTGCAAATCAATGAATTTTGATATCTTCAAAATCTGTTTGGGGCAAGCATGTGCCAGCAAGGTAATCTGTCCTGGGCAATTAAGCTTGAGTGATCTGTTACCAAAAAGATAAATATTAATATGACAATATTCAAATTTTCTTCTTCCATAAGAAGACATAATATGACAATATTCTAATTATCTTCTTCAATAACAAGACTAAAAGCAATCGGTCAAAATCAGACTTTTTAATGAATATCTATATCGAATATCAGAAGTTTCATTTCAAATCCGGGGGCCGAAAGGACCTATTTCCGTATTCGCTCCTGTTAATTTGTCTTGAGTGTCAGCGCCGCAGGCCTAGCTATATGTGCGCCAGGTGCGTCGCAGCGTCACAGTGTTTCGTGAGATATCGCGAAGACTGTTACGCGAGACGTGGTCTGGCGTACATATGGCTGGTCATAACTGAACTGACAACCAGTGCATCTATGGTAACATCGGACTGCATAAAAATTAAAGTAAGAAGCACTATTAAAACTAAAAAAATATGTAAATGCACGAATAGGATAGTATAGCAACAGTACTCATTCTGCCATAGTGGGTCAACATAAATTTAACACTGAAGCGTTTAAATATGGAACAACTAATTGACCTTGCTCATTAATTTGGGTCGAAGAACTGAATACTCATAGAATTCAATATTGAAGTATCCATGAACATCTATGTGTACAGGTTTGAGCACATTTTTGTTTATGGTAAACCATGTGCAGAAGCATCCGATTCCTCGAGCAGCTTACTTTAGAACAGATGTAGTTACATCGTCAGCACAGCACTTCTCATTGAGGGTAGAACCAGACATATAGCTAAAAGCTAAGATTCTTCCAATGTACAGTTTTCTTTCTTTGAAAGCACACCAATTCCCTATACAAACTTCGTCTTATTTACTAGGGATTGAGTGTGGCAGCTGATTACCAAGCTGGACAATGTTTCACTTGTGCTGCTCTGACTCTTTACAGTCTGTCCTGTCACTGATCAATTTGGTGTCATCAGAGCTGAGGAGCCACACAAGTGATGATCGAGGGGGAACCTACTTGGAAATTTGGTGAACTGTGAATATATTCAAATATTCAATGTCACTGAATACCAGTGAATATCACTGACTACCAGTGAATATTCACTGTGATTGTTGATTAATATCCTTGAATATTGATGAATATCGATGAATATCGATGAATATTTTGAATATCTTGTGAATATTCGCAAATATCACCTGAATACTTATTAGATATTAACCAGCGGGTGCACCGTGAATAGTCGAAGTTGATGCCCCCTCGGTGATGATTTCCTTAAAATACATGTGAGTCCTTGACTGTCACATACTTTTACAAAAGGATATGTTGGCGTTAGATTTACATTATTAAAAGTATTTAATTCGACATTGCCAGTTGAGACACTAATCTTCGAGCACGTCCAAGGTGTCATCAGTATCCTCCCTCGTCTGCAGGTGATGAGAACACTGCACTGCAAGCTACTTCTACCTCCACCACAAGATTATCTTCATCTCCATCATTCTGATCTTCAACTAGAAACTTTTCAAGATACAAAAATTTTGTTAGAGGCCTTAGACCTCCCGGGTAAAAATGGTTTGTATAAAATTTTTATAAAACGTCGTAAAAATTTATAAAATGTTAAAAAACGTTAACACTTCGTGTAAACTGCGAAACAAACCCATGATAAAGAAAACTAAATTATATCCTAATGTAAATAAAGAAGTTAACATTTTTAGTTGTACGGGGTGTCTTTGGCCTATGCTGTCAGCCCATATTGCGTCTTGGCCCCTGCGGCATGAAATGGTATGCAAACCCGCAACACTGAACATAGAGGTGTTCGCTCTGACCGAGGGGACCGAGGCACTGACCACCTAGTACCTGGATTTAAACAATGATGTCGGTGTGGTAGCACGAATGTGTGCACCGTAGAAAGTTTGATTGACCACTAGAAAGCTTGGTGGCTGTATAAACATTCTAGAAATTTACTTCATTTAGCTCTCTGTTTTTGGTTTGAGTGCACTGTTAACAAAGGGGCGGCGGGAGTGGCCTCGAGCACAGTGTGTATTGTTGGCGGTACTTCGTGTTAACTGAAAAACAACCCCCTGTTTAGGAATTTAATTGGCATTCAAAAATTGAAGTTAGTGATTTTGAAGTTGGGATTATCATAATTTGCGGCAAAAATAGTACGGAAATGACGTAGACAGCGTACACCGAATATTGCACAGAATCGTTACATTGCGTCTTACGCTACGTCTTACGTTTTATAAAGACGTTACGTAAGACGTTACGTAAGACGTAACGTAAGACGTAACGTAAGACGTAACGTAAGACGT